GGGCGGACCGGAGGGGCGCGGGGGCACGGCCACCGGCCCGGGTCCTGCTTCTGCACCTGCGGCGCCTCCTTCCCCACCCGCGGCTCCATTGGGAGCCCTCAGGAGGGTGCGGGGTCACCGCGGTGCAGACGACGAGGGCCCCGAGCGCGTGGGAGAGGAGAGTCCCAACCTACCTCCAGAGACAAAAGCGTGTTTGACATCCCTCCTCTGCCCGGCCTGTCTGTGTATACGTGTGTGTCTAGTCAACGAATCCAGAAAGTTCCAGGCGAGTGAAACCTGTATGGATGAACAGAGACAGGCTTTTAAATACGCCTACATCTTTTTTTAAAGTGGAGGTGCTGGGGATTGAACCCAGGACCTCATGCATGCTAAGCATGCGCTCTACCACTGAGCTATCCGTCCCCCACTTCTTACTCTGTTTTAATCCCAAGTGGTACATATTCTGGAGCTCCAAGGCCTATCTGAAATTGACTGATTTACTCCCCCCCCTTCTTTTAAACATAAACTAAAGTTACCATTGAACAGACCCAGCCATGGAAGGCAAACCATTGGTGGTATCAAAACAGAAGACTGAAGTGGTGTGTGGGGTACCAACCCAGGTGGTCTGCACGGCCTTCAGCAGCCACATCCTGGTGGTGGTGACCCAGTTCGGGAAAATGGGGACCCTGGTCTCTCTGGAACCCAGCAACGTGACCAGTGACATCAGCAAGCCTGTGCTCACCACTAAAGTCCTCCTCGGGCCGGACGAGGTAAAGTGTAGGGCTCCCTGTTGTGGTGGAAAACGCGCTTCTGTGACTATAATTTGTCAGTATGGCCGTAGAGCATCTGGCAGGCAGGCAGGCAGGCAGGCAGCCCCCACCCCCGCCCCCAGCCTGCAACAGGGTTTTCTGAGGCCTCTGCGTCTGAGGGCATCCGCCTGCCCTTGGTGGATGGTTCTCACACCCCATCAACGTTTTGTCAGCAGACAAGCAGAGGTATTGATTTTGTAATGTAGGCCTTCCCCTCAGTTTGACCCTGTCACAATACATTATGGTAATGACTGGTTGTCTGTGCTCCGTTCTAGAAAGATCATCTGTGCTGTTTGACAGAGCTTCCCTCCGCAGACTCATTCGTGGGTCCTTCCAGAGTAGAGAGAGGACCCAGCAAGCACAAAGGAAACAAATTTAATGATGCTTCTAGCAGTGTGTTTATGACTGCGTGTTAGGAGAGTCACATTAACTCTGAATCACTCTGGCCCTGAAATTTAGTGGTGGTGTGGGAAGCCAGTCTGGGTTCCTGAGGGGTCCTTAGTGAAGGCATTGAGAAGAGAACAGATTTCTCACAGTTAAAACGGTCTTCTCCCCTTCCCTTCACCAGCCTCTCATCCACGTCTTCGCCAAGAACCTGGTGGCGTTCGTGTCTCAAGCAGCTGGAAACAGAGCAGTCCTCCTCGCCATGGCAGTGAAGGACAAGAGCGTGGAGGGGGTGAGGGCCTTGCAGGAGGTGATCCAGACGTGCCAGGTGTGGTGACCTGGAGTGGCCACGGATGCTGCCCGGCCGGGCCAAGAGGAAGTGCCTCTCTCGAGGATGTGAGGACCCTCCTTCGGTCAGAAGGAGGCGCCTTCTTGGGCTTTACCCCTGGAAGCTGGAAGAAATATGCAGACTTTGGTTGCTCGTGTCACCCTCGGAGGGAGGAGGCCGTGGACATGTCCTGGGGAGGTTGTGAACGGTTCTCCGCGGGTCCAAACAGTTGCCCGTATTTGAGAATTGACCATGAGTCATGGCCTTCCATGTGCAAATCAGTTGTTAGAGAAAAATAATTTTTTGTTAAGAATAAGTGCATATCCCCAAATCCTTCACAGCCCGTCTTAATGCTGGGAAGGTCACGCAGTGCAAGCTCACCTTAGTGCCCCGCGGGTGGGCGGAAAGCCTGTCTGGTGAAAACTCAGTCTGAAGCTCACACGGTGAGGCACTCCCAGGAGCTGGCTGCTTGCACGCCCTCTCGCGGCTCCTCTTCCCGCGGCAGCTCGGCGTGCTCGGGGCCGGGCGGCTGCGTGCTTCCTCTCCGCGAGGGTTGCCTGCTGTCGTGCTGTACACTGAAGCAGGGCACACACCCTAGCCTTCGGAGCCCCATCCCCGAAAGCTAGGGGCAGCCACACATCACCCCACAGGCGGGTCAGCCAGGAGAGGGCTCGGTGGGGCAGAGTTGGCGGCGCCTCACTGCCCAGGGAAGGCTCGGGAGGAGGGGAGTCCTAACAGGGAAAAGGGTGTTTCAGCAAAGCCAGGAGAAGCACGATGGGGGCCAGGGTTGTGAAGGTCAGCCCGCAGGGTGTTGGGGGCTGGTTTGACATGAAGCCCGGGGGTGGGGGACATGGCGAGGTCACTGCTGAGTTGAGACCTTGGGACTTGATCTGAGCTTGGCGTGGAGCTGGTGAAGGGTTTCAAGTCAGGCTGGGGTTGCCTTTTGGAAATGCTCCCAAGGGTGGGCAGAGGCATGGGGCATGGCTTGGCTTCAGGACATCATGGGCACCACAGAGGTCAGCCTCCAGGCGTCCAGGCCTGTGACAGGGGCTCCCCTATCCCTCCAGACGCAGTGACCCCCCCGTGTTGCTGGTCGTACCAGAGACCGAAGGATCAGCCCTTGTGCCATCTGACTCTTAGTCTTGTGAGGAAATAGGGATGACAGGACAGTCCAGGCAGGACCCGGGGTCTGGGAGCAGAGGCCAGCCAGGACCCTGAGACGGGTGGACCCAGGACGGGGGTCTGGGAGCAGAGGCCAGCCAGGACCCCTGAGACGGGTGGGCCTAGGACGGCCCTGGGGAATCTCGGGCGCCTTGTCCGGGTTCTCACGGAGAGAAGCCGGGTGGGCCTGCCTGCGTGTGTATGGGATCAGGTAGGGGTCATTGTGTTGGTTTCCCTGAGAACCAGTAGCCTCTGAAATCCTGTCTGAATTTAGAAACCGCTGTCGAGGACAGGTCAGTGGGAAAGACCAGGCTGCTGGTCCAATTTGCGAAGAATTTAGAGAGTGAGTTTGCGCAAGCTGGGGCAGGGGAAAGCTGTCTTCAGGGGCTCGTCCCCTCTGCAGACGTCCTGGCTCCTCCCCAGGGTGGGGGTGAGGGTCACTGTCAGCACACGTCTGGTCCAGAGACGGTTGGTCGGGTAAACCCACGGGCGCGGACCAGCCGCAGGGCGGCCAGTGGCCTCAGCGTCAGGAGGGCTGGGGAGTCACACGTGGGGTCTGCCAGACTTCCCGGAGTGGGTGCTGATGCCGGAGCGAGGAGTCCGAGTGACCAAGAATCCGCAGCCCCCACTGGGCAAACTGAGGCAGGCCCATCCTAGGAGACACAGGGCTCCTTTGCGGTCAAGTCCAGCTCAAGGACTCCAGGCAACTTTGTCCACCCCTCCCTGCCCCTCAGACAGATTCGTACCACAGTCCAATGGCTCTGCAGCCACAGACACACATTTTAAAGGCCAGAAAGGAGCAGACTGAGCAGAGAAGAGGGGGAAGGTCTGTCCCACACGTGAGGACCCCAGAGGTGACGTGTGCTGTGGCAGGTGTGGGGACCCAGGCACTGCCAGTTAAAGGAGACGGGGGGGGGTGGGGGGGTGGTCAGGGAGGAGCCAGTTCTGGAGCGCTGTGCACCCCGTCAGAGCACACTGGAGGGCGCAGGCAGGCAAAAGTCCCGTCACTCACCACCAGCCTGTAATCAGCACACTTGGCATCTAAAGGTCAGGTGTGTGGTCTGTGGAAACGTGACCAGTGGGTTACCCAGACCCGGGACAGGAGACCAGCTCAGATGTGCAGATTTGGTTTTCTGATTTGGGCTCTAGACGTGTGACAACAGGACTGGCTCCCGCGCCTGCTCATGTGCTGGCTCTGCGCTCAGCCCTTCACCCACTCATGGTACTGTTTCATTCTCACGTCCACCCATGAGGCCACTTCCCTGGTCACCTACATGTCAGGTGAGGAAGCAGGCACCAGGTCACAGCCACCACTGAGGCAGAGGGCCGGGGGGCCATGAGGTTCACCCCTCACCCGTCTCCTGGCCTGGGGCTCTGCGCTGAGGACCCGGCGTCTTCCTTGTGGACACTGCGGGCAGACTGGCCTCTGTGCTTCTGTCTGGCTCTGATCCAGCCTCGGGGCTGGGGCCTCCTGTGAGCCACCTGATGGGGTCCTTGTGGCCTCCCTTAAGAAGCGGGCAGGCAGTGGAGAAAGTTGAGGCTCAGGAGGGCAAGGCAAGTCCCTCAGCCCTGGTGACCAGCGGCAGCCCTCGGACGTAAATGCAGCTGTGCCCTGTTACTTGCACTGTCCCAAGGCTGCCCGCCTGGGCGGGGTGGGGCAACTGATGTCTAATTGGCACCAAGGTCCCCAGCGCCTTCCCGAGTCCATGTTTACAGCTGCCAGAAGCTGCCTGGTAGCTCTTAACAATACAGCCTGAGAAGAAGGCTTCCATCGTTTCAGCTGGTGCCGCACACTCTGCTCTGCTGTGCAAATCAAGACACACAGCCTGTGTGCAGAGGCCCTTGGCCCGTTGCCTCCCATGGCTCTGGGCTCCCAGCCGCTGTAATTCAGGAGGAGAGCTCGCTCCGACAGAGAGGGCTGCAAGCCGCAGCTCCTGCGGGCAGGGCTGCCGCCCTTGTGGAAACTGTTACTCCTTTAGATGGAAAGGCTGCATGTGGCGCTTACCCGGCGATCAGACTGTAATTACAACTTGCAGCAACTTACGGCGGAACGTAAACAGTGAACGCACGGGCTGGGAGAGGAGGCGCCCTTCTGCAAGGCCGTGCCCTTGCGCCAGCGCCATGTAGTCGCCCGACACTGCCCTGCTGGGCCACCGGCAGAGGGCCCCGGGTGCTCCTCCCTCTCACCCCCTCTTCCTGAGGGGACGTGGGCCGGCGGCTTGGGCTCAGACTCAGGGGTGAGCAGGTCCCCTTGGAGATCAGGAGAGGCCAGGAGGGCGGCTGCTCTTGGATTTCAGTCTGAGGAGCCAGTCCAGGGATGGACAGAGCCCCGGACCAGTGACGGCCAGGAGCCCGTGGGACAGGACAGCGGCGTGCAGGAGGGCCCAGCTGAGCAAGCTGGAGTAGAGCTGGAAATCAGGAGGGACACCGGGTAAGTGATGAGAATGAGGGCCAGATGGACGACGTGGAAGGTGATCGCAGGGAGGCCCATGTCGTTCAGGTGTCCTGCCCACGGCTGAACACAGAGGACCAGCCTGTCTTGTGTGGCACGAAGGGTGGGGCGGAGGACTCGTGAATTCCAGAAGGATTGTGAGAAGGTGGGAGGCTCTGGAGCCCTGGGGAGGTGAGGCCGCTTTCAGGAGGACGTGCTCTCGGGTGGGCCCCCGGAAGGCCCAGGGCAGAGGCAGGAGCACACGGCAGGCAGAGGCTGCCAGTTTCTCTCACGGACTGTGTGTCTCTTCAGCAAACCTCTCCAGAGCCCCCCAAGGTGGGCTGTGCAGAACCACGACCCCCATCGCGTGGCAAAGAGGGGAGGGTCTAGTGGGCGGAGAATTGCTCACTGACAAGATGGCTGGTAATGGCCACCACCCATGTCTGGGCCTGGAGAAGGTGCAGAGGGTCCAGTGTCCCTGCGGGACGGAGTGGGTGTGGGGGGCACTGGGAGGACTGTGGCTGCTGGAAGTGGGGGAGGGGAGGGAGTGGAGAGAGAGGCTGGAGGAAGCAGGGAGGGGAGGTTTCCAAGCAAAGGAAACCCAGAAACACCAGCCCTCAAGCAGGTTGTCACAGGCCCCTGGCGGGCACACAGGACATGCCCTCTCCACGCAGCCACCAGCGCTACACTACCCGGGGCACACAGATCCTTGAGCCCCCTTCACAGACGGGAAGACTGAGGCTCAAGGCCGTGCAGGTGGAACAAGCCGGGATTCAGGCCGCCGCACCCCCACCTCCTGGCTAGGGGCCCACACCCCTCAGCCTCCTAGTGACCAGAGCTCCTCCCTGTCCCACCACCCGAGGGCTGTGCTCCTCGGCCCAGGGTAGGCCCTGTGCATGCGGTAGCCCCGTTAACGGCACAGGGTGGGGCTCCCCGATGCAGGACAGTCAAGGGATGAAGGGGCCACAGGGAAACGGAGCAGCGTGAACAGAGGGGGGGACAGGTGGCAGACCCCATAACACCCCGTTTGATCTCACTGCACGTACAAAGTGCCTCAGCCTCCCACCCACACAGGTGGCCAGGGAGGAGCCACCCAGAGCCACACCTGGGCCACACGCAGATGTGGGAGACTCGCCACCAGCTGGGTGGCGCATGGAGGGATGGCTGGTCCCCTAATCTGGACAGGGCACGGGGAGGGTGTGGCTGGGCTGCCATGCTCGTTGGGCTGGCCTGGCGGGGCGGGCGGCAGGGAGGAGTCTCCTGGGTCTCGGCAGAGGCCAGCACCTCCCCAGGAGCAGTCGTACCTGGGGCTGGCCCGGGCCACTGTTAGGAGGGACCGCAGAGGGCTGGAGGCCCCGCCACGGGGCCGGACACCCCCGGCCACCGCTCTCAAACCTGCCCGAGGGGCCTGGCAAGACGGCTGAGGGAGCTGCCAGGGAGGTGAGCTACGTGTGCACGTGCGAGTGTACATGCGTGTACATGTGTGCGCGCCCACAGGAGAGGCGCGGTGTCCAGCCTGCAGCCCCCGCACTCCTGCAGAAAAGCGCCCGCACCTTGAAACTCTGGGACTCGCAGCCGCTTTGCCCGCCCCCGTCCTCTGCCCCACCTCCACCCCAGTCTGCGTCCCCTCCCAGGCCCCCAGGATGCCACCTGCTGACCAAAAAGGGTCTCAGGCCAGCCTGGCCGGGCCAGGCCCCGGTCAGCACCCCTGCCCCAGCTCCGCACGGAAGGGGGCTCCGCAGGGCACGCACGCGGGGCTGGCAGCTCGCTCTGGGGCTACAGGCAGGTTCAGACACGCCCTTCGTGGGACTGAGGCGGCAGGCCTGGGGAGGGCTCGGCCTGGCACGAGGAGGGCAGAGACGGGAG